TCCTTTGGGGTGAGCAGCAAAGGAAGAGCAACCAAAATACAATCAAAATACTGAAATAAAGAACTGAAAAGCTGCAGACAGGAGGGGTTCTTGCTTATTTTTGAGTTCTGAAATGCAGCAACAGGAAACAGAAGGGTAGAGACACAATGAAGTTCCAAATCTGCCCATTTATGTTTTAAAAAAATGACTTGGGAGGAAAAGAAAATTTCATCAGGTACAATTAGGTACTCAAAATTACCAGTTTTTATAAATTGCATATATTTATGTGTGTGTATATATATATATAAACGCCTTATATTTAAAAGATTAGTGCTCCTTCTGGCAAGGCATCAATGACAATTTTCCTCTCCCGTTTACCTCCACAATACAAAGTGAAGATTATCTCATTCCAACGTCACTGTATATAAATAGCACTGAAAAAACACCTTTACAGGGCCAGTGTTTTGCTGCCATTTTATCTTACTTTTCCTTACAGAATTCAGATAAATGCTCCAAAATACATAAAATGCTCCAATTTTGCCTTGGGGAGCAGGAAGGGGAGACACAGAGTTGTCGCTGGGAAAGGTCCTGTGGCATTATAGAATTTTGCTTTTCTCTGGAGGTGTTTAACAGCAATAACAGGCAAAATTTTACAATAAATAGAATAATGCAGCCCTTGGGAATGTGCTGTACTCACTATGCACTGTTTTAGCTTCCAACTCCCTCCTCCCACCCATGGGGCTGGCGTGGAATCAACCACTACACTTAGTGAGGATTTGGAGCAAAGGAGCTTTTTCACCTAAAGGCTGGAGCCAACTGAGGGGGGGGTGGAAACCCCAACCAACCAAACCTAAACCACCACTTTTCATTTTTATTCCCTTTTAAGCCCCAGCTCTTGGCAGGCTGAGTAGCAGATAATGGGATTGAAGGAGGTGCCTTTCCCGTGCAGGTGTTCAGCAGATGCAGCAGCAGAACAGGGATGGCCTCTGGGAGATGTTTAAGTCCAAGCGGTCTGGCCAGCAGGAAAGGTGAGGGCACGTGGAATCCCAATGAAATCCCAAATCCTCCCTGCATGGCTCCTGGCTGCTCCCCACAGAGCAGGGTTGGATCTTTGCTGCCCACATGGGCTTGTGAAATGCCCAACTACTCCTCTCACACCCCCATGCAGATGGGCCACACTTGTGTTATTAAATAAAGCAGCTATTAGCCAGCTCCTGGAGCTGGGGGATTTTGTCTGGCCAGGTTGGGGGGGTTTTTTGGTGGATTTTTTTGTTGCTGTTGGTTTTGGGGGTTTTTTGTCGGTTTTTGGTCTTCTTGTTTCTGCTCTGGCACGCTAGAGAGATTTATAGAAATGACATCAAAAGGCCTGAGAGTGGAGGGGATGGATGTGCTGAGCTGACCACTGGCCCCAGGATTTGTCAGGCTGGTATTTATTACAGCAGGGGAGGTGACAGCTATGTTAAGATCAAACTCAAAAGTCAACAGTGAAATTGCATCAAGGCTGGCCACTTTCAAGCAGCTTCCCAGTAATCCCTGCTCCTTCACTCCGACACCATGAAGGAGGAGAGATAAATTAGGAGGCAGCAAAATGCACCAAGAATAGAGGAACAAAAAGCACATGGGTCTAGCGCAGGCTGTGATGTGGAAAATACTCCCAGGGCTGAAGGCTGCTCGTGTGCTGATGCCCTCAGATGTCTGGAAAAGGGAGCAGGCATCAAAGGAGAGGTGGCTGTCACCGCAGCTCAAAGTGCTGCTAATCTGCCTGTTAAAAGGTGCGAGCAGTGGGCAGCTGCAGAACCACCCAGAGGGGAAAATAATTCGGGATGCTTAAGGGAAGAGACTGGAATGACAATTATGTTATCCTGTAAAATCTCTGATTAGGAGTTGAAAACCCAAAGGCAGAGGCCAAGCAGTAGTGAGGAGGAGGGAAGATGAAGATTGCTTTCGTTTTGTATTCCATATGCTTCTCATGCCAAAAAAATTTACTGCAAAACAAGCAAATCAGTGGGAAAAAAGCTGAAAACACAGGATCCATTTTTTAAAAATACATGAATACACAACATTTACAAGACTTCTTAGTGCATATTTACACTGACTATTTTGTTTTCTTTCTAGAATTAAAGCTGCCATAAACCTTCAAAGACTTAAGGGCTGTTTCAACAGCTGAATTATAAAACAGCCCAGTCACAAATTACAAAATAAACTTGGATGGTTTAAATAAAGGAGGAAAAAATGAACCACGTGATTCACTTAAATATAGATTTATATGGGAAAGATAATTCTCTTGACACACTGTCTGTGGTTGTGAAATTGTAAACATTAGTATTTTAATTCATGCTGTCATGTCTATGGTTGTGAAATGGTAAACTTTAGTATTTTAATCCACGCTTCAATATTTTTGGTCCTAAAGAGAAGCAGCTGACAGGGCCTCTGTTAGACCACAACCCTGCTGGGAGGGAAACTGCTCAAAGCCATTTGCCCCCAAAAACTCTGCAAGATGATGCTGGTGGAAACCAAACTCTAAAACCAACTTAGAAGGAGATCTTTTTGAAAAGAAATGTATTTTCTTCATAAATACAGTACAATTACATTTTACAATGTCTTTTTACTTCCTAGACATAAAAACACTAACTTTTACAAAAGAGTTCCTATACAAATACATGAAAAGAGACCCTCCCCCCTCCACAGCCCCCCGTCCCCCGCCCCTGGCACGGAGCACACCCAGGGCAGCAGGGTGAATCCAGGATAAGCTGTGCCAGCCCTGGGGAGAGCAGGCTCAGCTGGCCCGGGCTGTTCCTGCCCTGGGCACTCCGCTTTGGGTTTGTCTGGGGAGCAGAGCCTCGGTGCGGCCGCAGCCACCGCGGGTGCCACGCGTCCCCCACGCCGCTGGCCCCTGGAGCAGGAGGTGGCCTTGGAAACGGGCCTGGCCTGAAAGTCTGTGAGCCCCCCTCGACTCAGGCAGCCCCAAAAAGCAAAGCAAAGACCATGCTCAGCTTCCAGACAGAACACACGGGGAGAACTTCAGCCCCGGCACACGTGGTGACCTCAGTGTCCCCCTGCAGACTCCTCACACATCCCCTTGAGTCCCCAGACACCACATCGCGGAGCTGCCAGGTGGGAGCTGTTTCATTTAATAACAACCTTGGGCCAGGTGGAACAAAAGTCTCTGGATCTCGGGCAGTTCCCCAAGCAGTGAGACCACAAAGGAACTGCCCAAGGGAAGGACTTGGGAGTTTGGCCTTTCTGTAAGCAGTGAAAGGAAAGAGGAAAAATAACTAAACTTCACTTTCTTGTTTTGCTCTACAAAGAATATGTGGCTTTCTTTATAAAAGCTACAATTCTGCTTCTAATACCCGAGTTTAAGAAAAACTCTTAGTCTAAAATTTTGGTTTGCAAAGGTCGTTGCAATCATTGTTAAAAACCACTTTCTACTAGAAATAAGCTCTACAGAAGGCAAAGGAACTAGGTGTGCAGTTGTCTCCTTAAAGCAGTTTCTGTTTTAAAAACAAAATAAAAATCTGTACAGAGACTGAAGACTATAGTACACATCTTCCTCAAAGCAAGCAGCTCGTTTACATTCACACCAGGATGGCTCTGAGGAAGCTCCAGGGGAAGAATACATTCCTGATGGCTCCCGTTTGTCAGCACAGGAAAACAACCTTCAACTTCCACAGCAAAGTTTTGGGTTTTTGCTTGTTTTGGAAGAAATTGAAATTACAAAATAGGGCAAAGAGCCCGACCTAAGCAGTGTGAAGCTACACCATCTTCCAAAATTACTTCAGTGGGTGAGGAACTGCCAAGGCTCCTGCAATGCTGATGGTTCAGGCTGTCAGAGACAGCCTGGCTTCCATTTCTGGAGGAGATAGTTGCTGTATGTTATTCACAGAAAGCTGTTATGTCCTTTTTGATTTGTAAAAACAAAATGCAGTGGCCCTCCACTTGAAAAGGGTGAGCTGCAGGGAGGATAAACCAATTATTTTCACCTGAACAGCCAATACTGATCGGGGAAAATCAGTTTTCAGAAAGAGGTTTTATCTGTAAAAGATCCAAATTTTCCCAGATATTTTAGAATTTATGTGAATCAAGAGAGTTGTAACTGTTTATTTAGAGCCCTACAGTTGTAAAACTTCTTTCCAGATGCTGAAATGTATTTGTAAAAATGGAATATTACTTTTCCTGACTCTAAAGGAAGAGAAAAGCATTCAAACAGTTCTCCCCCTTCTCACACTGCCACTCAATGGCATTTGATTTCCCTTGCTCATTTTAAGCCAAGCCCACAGAATATAATATAGATATTTATGCTGAAATGGCAAAAAGGTGGACACCTTGAGCTAATGAGAAAAGCTGCATTTCCAACAACTGTGGAGGAGGAAATCAAATCATCTAGGGTGGGCATTACTTCATAAACTGGGATGGAATTAAACCAAGAGAAATAAAAGCAAGACATTCTCAGGGATGAGAATGAAGTGGTGGTGGACAGAGTGCCTGGAAAAGAGTGGGGAATGGTTCAGAGGGAAGGGAGGTCTGGAACTGTCTGGAAAGACATTATCCCACAGGACAGGCAAAGCCAGGCAGTGCAGCTCTGCAGTTGGCTGATGGAAGGGGTTTGTGCCTGGCCAGAGCGTCTCCCAGCCCACCCCTGGCCACCTCTGCCTTCTGCAGGACTGGGAATACGGCCTGGAGATCCCTAACCAGCAGCAGCAAAGCTGCCAGAAACGGTGGGAAGTGTTTTCCTTGGATTGTAAGTGATTATTATCAGAAGGACAGCTCGGGGCTGAGCTTTAGGCACCACCTGTGCAGAGAGAGGCACCTCCTCTCCCCTCCCACTGTGAAATTCCTGTGATCCCTGGTGGTCTGGTAAGGCCATTTCATTTGAACACCACAGCAGTAGTATCAAACAGGAATTAAAGACATTCACTAACTCTGTGATCATTAATTGCTGGATTTCCTTATTTCTGGGGTGAAACGATCTGAAATGAAAATTTTGCTACTCTAATGCTGCACAGAAAGCTGAAACTAGCCAGGTTCCCAGTGTGTGACCACTGGCTAATGAAATATTTTAATTTTCAAGTACAAAAAAAGAGTAGGTTTTAACAGAAATTAATATTGAAGTGTTTTAATAAAATGCAAAGACAGTAACAAAAAAAAAAACACTCATGTACTTCTATTGGTCTTAATATCTCCTTTTAGTTTCTGTAATCAAAGCACTGCTGCATCTGTGCTAGTTCCCAAAAATCTGGAAGTGAACCTCATGACTTAAATATGTAACTTTCTTCTGTAATGCCTCTGGGATTTCTTTAAGCTGCTCTCTCCACTTGGATGAATTAAAGAAGTATATTGAAAGGAGAGAATCTGCCATCTGAACCATTGCACAGAGCTTCTATTTAAAGCTCTACCTCTGAGGCTTTGCCATGTGAAAAAGAATCCAGTCTCTCCAGAAAGGAGGGATACGCAAAGTTGAAGGGCATTTGAAATATAGAAAAGTCTACTACAAAGAAAGATCTCCACAGATGCAGTAGATTAAGTTGTTACATCTACAACAGGGCTTCCCACTTGAGCTATGGTAAATTTGAAGTATTTTCACTAAAGCCAATGGAATTATGATGTCAGAAATATGATCTAACAGATCAGGGCTGGGCCTGTAAATTCTCCTTATTCATTTATGTAAAATATGAATGCAATATATTATTTACTATCCACTGTAAAATTATTGAAAAAGTACTTAAGAATAAAAGTGTGGCAAATCTTGCAAAAGGAACTACAAATAGGAAATGTGACATTAATCACCGGAGTTGTTTGTTTTAATAACAAAATAATTAAAAAATTAATTTGGGAAGTAAAAAAAAATGTTACCACACTGAAAATGAACATCTTTTCAGCCTATGAACATGAAACACCTACTCTGAGTTCTTTCACTGAGAGGAAAGAGGAAGTGAAAGGGAAATCTCCCTTGATCACAGCTCAGATTTACCAAAGCTCCCCAGAACACCTGTATTCCAACACCATGAAGTGATGCTCACAACGATGTCCCTGGTTCTGATCATTTTAAGGCCATTAAGCTCACCTTACTACATTCAAGCTAGACATGTAACCAGCACCTGTGAGAGCAGGTACTTCTGCTTAAGAGACTTGAAAAACACTGAAATGAAAGATCACATGTAGTGCACCTAAGGTCTAGTTTTTGTCTCCAGATGTTACCAGATGCAGTATTTAAAAAATAAAGGGGGAAACTTTCAAAGAACAAGCGTTACGGGTTTTTTATAATTTAGAACAAATTATAAATTAACCTGTCCAAACTTTTGAGACATAATATACAAGAGCAAACAGCTGAGTGTTCTTTTATTACTCAGGTACTACATTTTTTTTCCCCAATAAAAACGTCTTTTAAAAATTTCTTGCTACTGTTATCCCAGCTCAGATCCTGGTACAGCCTTTCAGATGAGGTATTCTACCATCTCTCCATCTGGGAGGTCCTGCCCCACAGTCTGAACAGGGGCTTTTCTTTCAAGAGTGCTGGAGTGGAAGAGTGGCCCATCTATGTGATGAGGAAAAACAAGAGACAATTAAAGGTGTCATTTCAATGAGGTTAGAAATGTGACATTAACATTTTAAGTCATTTTGTATCATTGGCCAAAGACAGATAATAACTTATTTAGTTTTAAAAAATTCAATTCCCACATATGCAGCCAGACAAATAAAGCTATTTTATCAAATTCCCTTTGGGTACCTCCCACTGATACACAAATCCACACAAAACTGGAGTGACTGCATGTAAACCAGTGCAGTCAGGGTGGATTTTCACCACCAGACCTGTTCTCCCTCGATACCCATTAAACAGCACAGCATGGGCAGGAGGCAGAGCCCAGCCAAACTCTCTCTGCCATGAAGAACAACAGCATTGTAATGTGTCTGTAAGGAAAAGAGGCAAGGTTGTGTAATCTGCATTGATTTGGCAGAGTGGGCTGGAAAATGAGCAGCTCTTGCCAGCTGGGAGCTCTGTGGGAAGCAAATTCAGCTCCTGGGACAGTCACTGTCAACGGGATGTCCAAGGCTGAAGTTGCTCCTGTTGACTGGGATGGTACCGAGACAGCTTTATTGTGATAGTTCCCTCTCCTCCTTCTCCCTCCCCCTCTCTGAGTCCACCTGGCTTTGGATGCCCACTCAATGCAACAGCCAGTTTGAACAGCCCATTTTCATGTTTAAACCCCACATCCTACTCAAAACTTACTTCAGAGCAGACACTGACTCAGAGACTGCCCAGGATTTGCATCTTCCTGTTCTCAATTCTCTGCTGCACCTCCCTGCCCAGTGTGCCCACACTTATGCTGCCACTCTTCAGGCTCTTCTTTTATTCCTTCAGTGTGTTTGAGACCACACAATCACACTTGTCCCTGAAATCAACCTGTCCTCACAAAAACTAACCCCAGTTTGCCTGGAGGGAGAAAGGGACATCAGGGCTGCCCCAGAGATGGTGAGTGGGTGACAGGGTCCCCCCTGGCACGGGGGCTGAGCTCTGTTACCTGTTTTCTCTGCACTGTAGGTCAGATTGGTGCTGGGGAGTCGTGCTGGGGTGGGAGCTGCAGGGGAAGGAGCAGCTTTGCCCTGCTCACTGCCCCTGTCTGTCTGGGTGCTGCAGTCTCTGCTGCCTGTCTTGGAGTGGGCTGACAGCAATGGCGTGGAGGGCAGGACAGGAGAGGGGGTGGAGGGGATGGATTCGGAGCGATATTCTGTTCCCAGCAGAACACCTGTGTGGGAAAAGGGAAGGAAATGTCACAGTCACAGAAAACTAACTGGTACCAGCTCTGCATTGATTGCTCCAGGATCTGGAAAGTGCTCCCTCCCTCCCAGTGGGTTTGCCTTTGCACAGCACCTTCCTCCCCTGGGTGCTGAAGTACCTGAGGAATAGCAGTGTCCCCATACTGCTGCTTGCAGGTGGGCACTAATCTGCACACTCTGAAATCACCTGCAACAGGTCCTCATTTACATTTCAGGGGTTTTTACTCTCAGTTCTGGGCCTAACTTCTCCCAGGGGAAAAAAAAAAGTTACAATTTCATTTCTCAGAACAATGCTGTTGAGCCATTCCAGATAGGAGTCATGTTAGTGCAGGCACAACACTGCAGGATAGAAATCCTGATTAAAATCTCTGCTCCAATTCAAGGAGACTTTACACCTTCAGCCAGCTGTAACACCCAGCTGAAAGCAAGTGCTTGGGAACCCAGAAAACTGTATCCCAGACATCCCTAAAGTCAGGTGGCAAATTGGGAATAAAGGCTTACACATTTAATGGCAGAGCATGAGTATCAGAAGTCACTAATTCCCAGAACTGATTAAAATAAGCAGCTATTTCAAATGTGTCCCATCTTACAGCCAGCTTTACTGCAGGCCAGGCCAGCTGCTCTATCTGTCCAACACACCCTCCTCTGTTGCTCCTGCCTCCACTCCAAGCAGTGGCTCTGAATCAGAATTGCCACTGGTGTTTGGAAATTACCCAGGCTGCCCTTCCAGCTCTTGTCCTCCCTCTTCTCCTCCAGGATGGGGGTGCTGCTCAGGGTTGAGGAGTGGGACAGCAAGCCTGAGCCAGCGTTGGAGATGGACATGAGGGACTTGGCAGGTCTCATGGAGGAGAGCTGCTCTGTCTTGCCAGGCTCCTTGCGGGAGCGCTGCTGCAGCACTTTGATCATGGCGTCCTTCTCGATGATCTGAGCATGCAGGGTCTTGATCCTTTGGGGCAAAGAAAAAGGACAGTTTAAGTGTCTCCCGTCTCCCTGGACTGAGACCTCAGGGTCCTCATGGCTGTGACTAAGGCTCCCCTAGGCACTTGGAGAGGTGGAGGGAGGATGCCAGGAGATTGTCCTGGGCTCTGGCTGCTCTCTGGCCCACACAGCAGATCATGTGAGAGAGTGTGATACACCCACCCACCCCTGGCTACTGGAAACTGCTCTAAACAGCCATGGAAGGAGCTCTGAGACAAACCTGAGAGTAATGGGCAGGACATGAGACCAACATTTTGGGGAGTCTGCACTGGGGGCCTGACCCCAGGGAAAACAGCTCTCTGAGCCTGTTAAAGGGTGGCTGGAGACTGGGGTCTGATGAAAATGCCCTGAAGACAGAAGAGGAACAAGCTAGATGCAAAAAATCTAAGACGACTTTTTTGCATTAGCCCTCGGTATCAAGACAGGTTTTGGATTGCTGTGTTTGTACTTCCTTGGCCAAATGAGTGTCTGGCATTTGACATCGCTGCTGCTGCTGGTGAAGACACAAGAATTTCTGGTTCTGAAGCACTTACCCAGGCAATTCATTTCAAATTCTGTCCCAAAGAAGCCAGACAGGACCAAAGTGCACTTTACCTTCCCTCCATGTCGAGACACCTCCTGTTGGCCAGCAGGATCTCCTCCTCCTCCTTCTGGATGCGAGCTTCCAGGGAGGTGTCGTAGCTGGGGTTGGGCGAGTGGCTGATCACCGTGGTGTCCCTGGAACAAGCAGGACAGCAGATGAAGGACCTGCTAAGTTTGCTGCTTTCCCCCCAGCAGCACAAAAGTACTGCTTAAATGGAACAAACATGGACATTCTACTTTTTTTTTGAGTTTAAGCTGGCTCAGTGTCTTCCAAAAATCCAACTCCTAATTTAATTTGTGTTCTAGTGAAAAAGGATTACAAAAATATGCAGATCATTACAACAACAACCGCCTGTCCATTTTGGGACAGTGCCTCACCTAAACTGAGTCACTGCACTACTCTAAACTGATCAAGGAGGCAAATCCAAGGACACAAAGAGAGGAAAGGAACACCAGGCACTTTTCTTCAACTTCACATTAAAAGCTTTTTCCCTTTCCCTTCCAACAGTATCATACATATCACAGGGGATGTGAATATCAAAGGGAACAAGGCATGGAAGTTTCTTAAGCAATCTTAAACAGCTTGGTCCAAAAAATCTGGAATAAGGTGAAAAGAGTTTCAGACTGGTTCCATATAAGGCCTATTGTAAACAATGTGATACTTGGTCAGTCCACTAACCAAATAATGAGTATTTCATTCTACTTATGAATGTGGCAGAAGAAGAGAGATCATTCACCAAAGAAACCCAGCCTGACCCAGTTCCTGCCTGGGCTCTAAAGCATCCTTCCTGCAACCTCAGCTTCCCAAGGGATGCCAGCTTCCACTGTTCAAGAAAAGGGAAAGAAATCTGTACAGTGTCGATGAGGTTGCCAATGGAATTAGTGGAATCTAGATGGAAATGGAAAAGCAGAGGCTCTTTCCTGACTGGAGAACATTCTTGTTCATTTAGTGAAACCTGAGCAGGCCTAACACATCCCCTCCCAGTCCATGATAAACAATAGACCAGGCCCCAACTTATCAGCCCACGCTGAAAATATAACATGGCCTCTAAGCACAAGCAGCAGCTGGAGCCTTTAGGGAATCTCTGGGGAGGTGGAAAACAGTGCACAAGAAGCATCAATACCCTAAAATAACAGCTTCCTTCTGAAGTAAGATAAGATAAGTCTTTAAACACTAACACAGCAGATCTACAGCTTCACCCCTGTAATTCCAGTGTGATCTTACAAGCTGGGAAGCCAGTTGTGATAACATCCCTATCTGGATTTGGCTCATGAAACAATCTACAATAAAATCTGCTGTCCAGAACCATAAACCAGTGAGCAATGAAATTACATGCAAGCAAGGCCTAATGCTAAGGAGCTGTACTCCAATAACAGCTCTTGTTTACCAACCAGCTGAGGCACTCGGGCCTATTCACAGCCATAATAAGTGTTTCTGGACAGTTGTCTTGGAATGGGAGCTTGTTACCAAATTTCAGACACCCTTCCCACCCCCACAAGCAGTGCTTTCCATACACAGCAGAATGTTTTGAGCAGAATTTCCTAGTAGATGCTTCTGGTTGGTAACCAGACAATACCACAAAGTAATTTGCAAAAACATTCTGGAGAACAAGGAAGCCATTCAGGGTGAATGATGTGAATCACCAAGCTCACCCCATCTCACATGACTTCAGCAAGGACTGATTCCTGTTTTAAAAATAAAAAACCCCCGAGCCTCTTCTCCTTTGAATCAACAGCATCTAGGAATGGCTCAGAACAATTCTAGTCTGGAAAATGGATCATGTATGTGGAGGAATCTTTCCCGGGAAAAACATTTCTAATTGTTGGCAATTGCACAGCTCCCAGGAAGAGCAGCCAAGCTCCACTTGCTTGCAGAGTTCTGAGGAGCTCTTCAGACCACAGGGTGAGCAATCACGGGAGGATGGCATGACAACATTCCTGGGTGGGACATATGACATTCAACTGGAAAAAGAAAATAATTCCAGTCCTGTGAAAAGTCCCATTTACCTCTGAGCAGCCACAGTTGCAGCTGCATCCAAAGCAAACTGTCTCATCACACTTTCCTCCAGGTATTTCTGTTCCCACTTGGTCATGTCAGCTTCCAGAGCAAGGATCCTCTCCTCCTTCTCACGCAGGAGCTCCATCAGCGCTGTGGCGTTGTACTCAGAGACATTGGCAGCCTGAGATGTGCCCTGACGCTGATGCCCAGGAGGAAAAGAACAAACCAAACAAAAACAGGAGTCTCAGGATGCAGCTGTAAGGCTCAGGGTTGGCTGGTTTGCTTTTTGTCACTGGTTTGACACAAGAACCCCCCCAGAGGGAAATGCAGTGGCTTCATGCTGTGTAGGGCAGGCTAACAAGAAAATACCTGAGATGCAAAATACTCCTCCCAAGGCCTTTTTCCCAAAAGTATATGGAAAGTATCTTTTTTTTTCCAAGGATGTACATTTGGGCCTTTCCAAAGTCCCAAATATGCATCCCAGAGCTGGACTGTGCTGTAGAGGTGTGATGTGCACAGCCCTTCCATAACGCCTGATCTAACACAGACTGACTCCCAAGTGTTCAGCAAGGCACTGACTAGTATCATCCCTTCCAAAAAATACATCCAAAATATTTTTAAAGCATTTGATTACTAAATTAATATGATCAGCGTATAGCTGGGGACTTAAATAATTCAGTTCCAAAGCAAGATTTGGAAGGCAGGCAGTGTTCCCTTTCAAAGTAGGGAAGCATGAAGATTTGCTCAGATAGTTCAGTGAATAAAACTTGCAGTTCTATATGGAAGTCTCATATGGGATCAGCAAGACATTTGACTAAAAAAATTAAATAAATAGTTTAAAGGAATGGGAATAGGGCAGACTAACTGTTTTATGCTGAGCTCAGAAGTTTTAACCATGACAGGAAAATAATTTTTTGTGTTGACTCAGGTTCAATGTAAAAAGTTGTGGAGTTTAGAGTAACTGATCTTCCAAAAGTGGAACAGACAAGTCTATCAAACTACTGTAACTCCTACTAAAACCAGTGCAAAACCCCAAGATTTAAATATCTATTCCTATGCAGAGATGGAAGTTAGGGGATAAAAGTAAGCTAAATCACTAAAGCTAATCACTAAATATGATTTAGAACACAGGCCTGCATCCTATTTCCAGTAAAATTCAGACACCTTACAGTTCATCTGTATTTAACATAGGCTGAAGTTAATGCAATTCTGAACAGACCTGCACAATCTACTTCTCATTCATTCTTTTCACTGGAAAAAGACTCTCAAGAATACTGCAATACAGTCTGTGTGAACCTCTCATCTTTTTCCATCAACTGCATTTATAGCATTGGCTTTGCTAGTTTAGCCTTGTGTGCTTTTTTGAATTCAGAAGGTTTTTGAAGGGCCTCTTTTCAGGCCAGTTGTTAATGAATTTTATGTAAAATCACAAACTGTGAACAAGAATTTTTAAATAATTTCAAATAACATAACCATGGTATTTAAAGGTACAGAAGCATGTAGCTATGAGGCTATTTCTGATCTTGTCACAGGATGGATCCCCTATTGCTCCTTACCTAAATTCTCTGGTTGAAACAGAATTAAATCAGGTAAAGCAATACAATAGCCAGGAAATCCATGAATCTAACTAACAAAAAAGAAGTTTTTTAAGAACACAAGATAAAAAATGCACTGCCTTTCTCTTGTGTGTGGGACAGGGTGCAATCCTAATCCTGCAGGAGCCCAGCAGGGCCAGGGGGTACCTGCTGCATGCGGAGAGATTCCAGCTCCCTCTCCAGCCGGGTGCGCAGCCGGTGCTCCAGCTGCTCCCTCTTCTCACACGCTGCCTGCAGCTGAACCAAGGCCTGCTGCATCTTCTCCACCTTCTCAACATAGACCTGCTTCTTCTTCAGCTGAAACAAAGCAAGAGAAACAATATCAACAATGGGAATGAGAGTGGACTTCGGGCTTTGCCACCAGCCAGGAGGAAGATGTCCAGGTGACTACCAGCACCTGAATGGAGCCCAGAGGAAAGATGGAGAGAGACAGGACAAGAGGGATGGCTTAGAGGGCATGTTGTGAGGAATTCTCCCCTCTGAGAGTGGGGAGGCCCTGGCACAGGGTGCCCAGAGAAGCTGTGGATGCCCTGGATCCCTGGCAGTGTCCAAGGCCAGGCTGGACAAGGCTTGGAGCAGCCTGGAAGAGTGGAAGGTGTCCCTATGGCAGAGGGTTGGAGTTGGATGATCTTGAAGGTGCCTTCCAGCCCAAACCATACCATGATTCATGCCAGATACCACGCTGTCAGTGGGCCCTGGCCTCCTGCTCTGGCCTGGCCACTCAGGATGTTACAGCTCTGTCCCAGCTCTGCTTTCCTGCTGGGTGTTTTTTCCCTTTTTGTCCTCAGTGACCCCATGGTAACGATGGGGAAACAGAAGAAATTATCTGTGGCAAATGTCTGAGAGCAGCAATGGACTAGAAAGGGCACCAGGGACTGACACAGTGTTTGAGCGACTTGATACACGTTTCCAAGGTAACTGCAGCAGTGTTTAGAGTTGATCCCCAAGTTGGGAACACTCTCAGTGCAATATTGAAAATTGCTGGCAGCATTTTTACAAGATTAGGCAGAAACTGAATCAAAATTTGTAGCATCCTACTGCAGTCCAATCAAAATAAAATAATAGGATAAAAGCACACACCAGCCATGGCCCAGGCTCTCCCCATGCCAGATTTATCCAGATTTATCCCAGCAGTCTGGCCATTCTTCTTGGCCTGAGAGGTCCTACTCTGTTCCTGCCACTGCCCTTTCATCTTCCTCCACTGTTCATCCCGCAAACCAAGCTGCCACCCTGCCTCACAAGAAGCAAGAAAAAGTACCACACTGAGCCCCCCAGTAACTGTCTTAGCAAGGTTAATCCACAGTTCATGCAGAATAAAAATGAACTAAAATATGACCTAAAAAAAAAAAATAAAACATACCCATAGCCCGGTTCTATTCAAATACAGGGAATACTGCACACCTGTGGGCATTATTTTCTGTTTAGGAAAAGACTAACAATTGTGCAATTAGCTGGCCCTGTGCAGCAAATCTGGGGCACTGCTTTTGTAGCTCTGATTGTCATAAACCCTGAAATACAAAAATAGCAGGAAGAAGGCAACTTTTCCCAACAGTCAGAGCCAAAGTTCTAGACAAGCACCACAATGCAAAACACAGACTCCCTTATGCGAGTTCAAAGAGCTGCTCTACAGCCTGATGGAAGAAAAGTCCACTGAGGGATATTAAAGACAAAAGACACCACTTTTGGCTCAGGAAGTCCTTCTTGGAAGCGGAAAGTGTTCTGGGAAAGTATCAGTGCTGGCTGGCCCCATGCTGACAGTGCTCCCTAGGAATCTGCTCTCAGTTTCAGCAGACAGAGGATACTTTGATCTGAACACCACGAGCTGTTCTTACATCGCACCTTTGCTTCAAAAAGGTCTCATCATGTGTTTCTTAAAAAATTTTCCCTTTTCTCACTCCTGTTCCTTCAGGCAATGCAAAGAGCAGAGACAGAAAAATCTCCAAACAATATTAATCCCAGACACAGTATCCTTTTCTTCTCTCCATAAAGTCAGCAGGCATCTAATCTCACAGCATGAATGTTGCTGCCTTAGAGGATTTTCCCCAAACAAGAATTTTATAATAAAAGTTACAACAAACAGTGAGCAATCCAGTCAAAGGACTTCCCACCAGTGCATGTACAGTAGAAAGGTATTTTTATTCTTTGATTGCTCAAGATTTCAAGCTTGTTTGGAATGGGAGGGAGGAGAACATTTAAATGTAACTTAATAGTCCACTGCTGCTCTGCAGAAAATCAATAAATGTGTTATACTTAATAAATCTTTTTATTCCGGATCAAAGTACTTGATAACATCAATTTAAAGTTTGTCAGCCCTCACTGAAATGTGGATTAATGCATCAGTTTTAAACTTAGATTAACAGCAGCTCAAAGTAGCCAAAAGTGATAAACATAGGGTCAGCAGCAGAACCCAGAAATGGAGAGCACTCAGTATCCTGGGTTTTGACCTGGACATGAGTGAGAAACAACTTGATAAACTCACTAGCAGTGAAATACCGTGCATCAAGCTGAAAAATAATCTCTTCAAAACCAGCTCTCCTCCCTCTCTCTTCTTTATAAAAGAAGTTAAGGATGAGGTGGTGGACATTTAGTCTCATTACCTACTACAAAGCATTTAAATTCCTGAGCAGTTTTTTAACACACAGGTAAAATCCTGCAAAAGCAGCAACCAGCAACATTTTAGAGTTTCGCAATTAACAAACCTGAGTATGCATATGTGTGGATTAACACTCTGGCCTGCATTCAAAGAATACCAAGAGCCCAGCCAAAAAGCAGAATTAGGACACAGAAATTCCACTGAAACATCCACTTTGAACGTTCTCCCATCAGCCAAACCTGCAGGTGAAAAGTTGCAACACAAGCTGTTGCCCAAGCTCCCAGCACTGCCTGCACATGCCTGACTCGGGCACCAGCCCCAACGCACAGGCACAGCTTGTTCAGTGGCTTTGCAGAAAGACAACATTTTTTCTCTCCCTTCACAAGATGCATTTCATCTTCCAGCATCAGGAAGAATTAGGAATGTTGGAAGATTTAAGGCTGGTGTGTGTATTCTTTTCAACAGCTTAAAACTGGAATTAATTCACAAATTCTTCAAATAATTTTCAGTGTTTTGGAACCCAGGTGTTCAGTAAGCTTTAAAGGCATGGGATGTGCTCCAGACAACTCAACTTTCCTAATGTCTTTTGTCAGAATTATCCTTTCTCTATAAGATAATCTCATTTCATGCACTTGCTGCCCTCAGTAAAGTCACTGCATATTCTGGCACTCTGCTACTACAAGTATTTGTGAGAAGAATTTACTTTTCTGTGAACCAGGATTCTCCAGAAGTGGTAGAAGGGAAATCTAAATTTATACAGTTTTGGTTTTCACTTCTCTGACCAGATCTAACTCTCATTGTAAAGAGGATCAGGAATGATTCTTCCAAGCACAGAGGGATTTCATTACCAGAAATCAAGAGTATGATCTTGTTTTCCTAAGACAGGAATTGGAAACAATTTCCTGAGTATTGCCAAGGTGCTGAAGACATAACTAAGATGGGAAGAAGGAAAAAAGGCAGCAAGCTGAGGCTTGTTCTTGGTCATTTGCCATGGATTCCCCACCCTCCCTCTCTCAGCAAAGAACCAAAACTGGCTGCTCAGTGCCAAGGGCCACAGCAACATCTACCAGGGCAGGGATGGCATCAAAGGACACAGGAATTCTCTCCTCTGCATCAGGCCTTGCAGAGAACACGTGCTCTAGATAAGAGTTCATTCCTGAAGCTTTACAAGGATGCAGTCACACCCTTTGGGATGTAATTTTAAATAAATTTGACAAGATAGTAATTTTCCTTTTGATGGCACAGCATTTAACTAAGAAGCAAGCTCATGTTCATTTAATGTATCGTAACTGCTTTGCCTCCAAGGGTGCTCTGAAAATGCAGAGCATTTTGCTAATGAGAATATCTTTATTTTAACACCTATTTATGATGTAAGATCTCAAATAACCTCAGTGCATGTCTGGAAGCACAGCAGGATGACTGTATCCACTCCCAGCATTTCCTACAGCACAATTTTAATAATGTCCTTATCATCTCCAGGTCAATCCCTGACTGCTTTGGAAAATGTCCTAACCAAGCATCAGAGGTCAGGCTATAATTCTAACTAAACCAATGTAAACAGGAGCAGCCACTCTCCAGCTGCCATTTACTACAAAGTTTATGTAAATTCTGCAACAGGACTCAGGACAAGAAAAATAAAGAAAAATAAAGATGACCATGACTGGCCTGGGCTCTGCAGAAATCCAGGGCACAAAGAGCAAAGCAATGCAGGGAATATCCCTGAAAGCCTCTCTGGCTGCCTGATCAAGTATTTCCAGCTTCATTTAATTTCCCCTCTCCCTTGATATGTGTATTTGCATGGCTTAAAATCAATGGCCAAAGACAAGTTTTCCTCTCAGAAACAGGGGATATTTGATTATTACCACAACTGCCCAGCAGAAAGGGAATTAAGAACATTCTAAAGACCAAACAAATCCTGTTCCTAATTTATTTAGGCTTTGACAAACCATGCAATGCCTTTCAGGGATCCCAGGTCCTTGCAGAAGGAAGGCTCTGAGGAGGGCACAGAGGTTCATGGAAAGGGAGCAGGGGCATGCAGGAATGAGGAATTTTCAGTCAAGACACAAGGCACAAAGGAGGCTGTAACATCCTCCAACTGGAGCTGCCTGTGCAGGACAAACACAGCCCTGGACACAGCAGGTGAGGAGGAAGGATCTTCTTTCAGGAAAGAGATTCATTGCTTCCAGATGCGTTACTCAGCAAAGATTTTTTTTTTTTTTTTTTTTTCTGGGGAAGAAGAGAAGACTTCCTGCACTGATTCAGAACTCTCCCAGGCATTTTGTGAAACCCAGCCATTACCCTCTTCATCTTGGACAGCTCCTATTTCAGCAAATTGGTAACACTCATCAGCATCTGCTTGTCTCCCACCCACTATTTCTGATGTCTTCAAAGTCCTTTGTTTAATATATTCAGGGTGTTTTCATAACATTCTGGGTTTATCCTAAAGCTGAATCCTTTCAGATGCAGCTGAAAATGTGTTTCCCCACAAGAATTTGCCTGCTATGGCAGAAATGTAGTTTAAAAAAAAAAAAAAAAAAAGCCAGCAAGCACGTTTACATCACCTCACCCTCTTGCAGTTGGAATATATTCCTCTAGGATGCCTTTGAACCCTCAGTTTGTTTGAATTCAGGCCCAACAAGGCGCCAGTGGCCTCAGCAAGAATTCCTGCTGAAACAATTTGGTAACACTATCCCCATGCTAGGGAACAGGGCTTGTGGCATGGCAATGTCACAATGTCGTCGCCCCGTTTGTTTGTGTTAAAATAAAGTTCTAACTCTCAAAGCCACCACTGGAAAATCACTAACAGGCAGAACATGTGAGACAGTGACATGGCAATAAAAAGGCAGTTCTGTCACAAGAATGCAGCTCATTAGAGAGAACCAGTTACAGGGAAAACAGGGAGGTTTCTCTCCTCGGCACCAAATCCATCCAGGAGTGACAAGCCATCCAAAAATTGTCCCTTTTAGAAGCAACTCTTTCCTGAAAGGAGTATTAGGTAGCTCTCAGAGTCTATGTGAAACAAAGCTGTGGAGACCAGGAATATCTTTTTATAGACCCAGGGAAATGACTGGAAAAAACCAGAGCAGGCATCAAGCAGCCAGCTCTCTTTGGGTCTCCTCCCTGCAAGCCAGAGCTCTGTTCTGAAAGCATCTCAGGCACAGCATAAAAAGTACAACAGATGTCATTGGGAAATGTATTTTTGCATTTCCCCCCAGACAGAACCCTCAGTGTTATCAGGAAAAGAGCATTTTTTTCTCTGCACAACAGCACAGTGAGAAATGAACACTATCTCAGCTGGTATCTGCTTCATGTGGAATTGTGATGGCTGAAGGATCTTAGAACTTCTAAACAAAAGCAATTTTAGAAAAGATATTTCATTCAAACTTGTTCCCTGCCTTATCCCCCAGTTTCTACCCATTAGAGAGGTCGTCTGTCTCCTCTTCCCACTGCAAGGTGTGTGTGTGTGTGTGAGAATGGCAAAGAGCAGATATTTTTATCTTCCTGGTGGTTGTCATTATTCTTCAAAGCTGTCTCGTTGAGGAACTTGGTAAAAAAGTCATTTGTAAAGCAGTGGAGCAAAGGAGTACAAGTTACACTACTATAAAAAACCCACAAACTTTTCTTAAGTTGAAGTGTGGTCTTCCATGGTATAAATTAAACAGGGTAAGCAGAAATGACCAAGTTTGAGGGGAAAAAAAAAAGTAAAACCAGTAGCACTTGTAGCCTCCACACTCAGCAGTTGTGGTTAGATAAAGTATTTGGCACCAAACTCCCTCCTGCAACATTCCAAGTCTGGTAAGGACTGGCAGCAAGTCAGCATTTACTCAGAGTCAGGTGGGTCAGGATGGTCCTTTCTGCAAAGCCAGCAGTTCTGGCCCTGGCCCAAAGCAAAGCCCAGCTCAGCTGCTCCATCTGCTCCAGGCTGTCAAGGTGTATGTGAGCAGATGGGGTTAAATCCTGTGTGAGCAGCCACAACCCTGCTGCCATCCCACTTGAGACCCTCACAAATGCTCCAAAATGAGATTTTTTCATTGCTTTAGCTCCAAATATTATCACTAACTCTTTCTGACTGTGATATACATTTTTAAGCCAAAATACATTTTACCTCAAATATGTTCAATTTATGTCAAATGTATTACATGTAATGAAAATAATCTGAAGTTTTCATTTTAGAAACCACAGACCAATACTTGACTAGAAACAATTTTAGTAAGCTGCTGATTTATGCAAAACTGTGGAACATTTACTAAAGGGAAGAACAAAAATAGAGAAGTGAAAATAGGGGTTATGGGTTAATAACTGTGTATCTTTATGGAGAGTAGAGAAGTAGTAAAGTTTAAATATTATATATAAAACATATACATACTTAGCAATTCTGTTCATAGACACATTTAAGTTTGCTTTAAATATTTATGATCACTCACCCTATTTTGCACTTTGCAGAAATAAACCCCACACTATCAAAAACTTTAATGGCAGCTTGTTCTAAATTTGAAGAGCCAAATTCACCCCTGCTAACAGGAGAAGCATTCTGTGAATGTCTACTTTTGCATCCAACTGCTTCACACTGTACTTCAGTATCTCCAAGATCACTCCTTTCTCCATCACATTTAGCATCCCATTATCTCTCCTTTCACTCTAACTTGGATGCTAAAATCCAGTATATATAAAAACCCTCAAAGCTCCACAGGTGTAGACAAGTGTCTACATTTTACAGATTTTGTCCAGACTGGCAATTCAAGCCAAGGGTTTTGAAAATAATCTAAAGCTCCAATTCCAATGCAACATTTAAATTCAGCTACAGTCATATATGGCTTATAGCCCTCCCTAGAATGGAAATGTTCTTTTTATAAAGGATCTAGTGCACACAAGGCAAGGTTATTCTGCTTAATAGGAAGTCAAAATGGAAAGGGTAAAAAGAAAAGGTGAAAACTTACATTATAGGAGGCTACAACTGAAATATGCATCCCCCCCTCAGGCCCTGAGCCAGAGCAGGTGCCAAACCTGAGCCTAAGAAACTCCACCCTCTGCTGCAGGACCAGTTTGGAAATTCCTGACACTTACAGGGACCAGTCACTCAGATTAACCCGGCCAGAATAAAGAAATAATCCACTAATTGTTCATATCTCTTGGCCACTGAATGCCACTAACTCAGAATGGTGTTCCCAGCCCCTTCTAAAGGTGCCCTGAGCTCTGAGCAGCTCCTTGGCTGCTTTTCAGAGTAACCAAACAGCCTGGGGATTGGAGAACTTTCCACAGTTCAACACTAATGAGGCAACAAATGTGTTATAATCCTAAGTATTTCATTTAAAAGTGATTTGGGAAACCTGCAGAAGTGACTCTTTACCATTTGTTTCCCCTTATTCTCTCTCACCTCTAGGAAAAAGCAGAGTTAATTCCTGCTCCCTCACTGAGAAGCTTCCATATTTATCTACAGCAGGAAGGGTGGCACTTCCTGCACACCCTGGGATTCGAGCAAAGGTTGGATGCATGTGACCAAGCCCTCATGCAGATCATTTCACTCTGGATCAGCCTATGTGTGCTTTTTAAGCTACCATGCAATTCAGCCCAGAGTGACTTCCTATTTCACTATGCTACCTAGGCAAAAATACTTTGCCACAGCACTGAACCCAATTCTTCTAGTGAAACAAGACCAGTCTTTAGTCTTTTGAAAATAAAACATACAGTTATTATTACCCCTCAAGGCTTCAACCTTACTGTGAGGGAGACAAAAAGAGTGCCTACACAGAGGTTCAAGCCAGCCAAGTGCTGTGTGCTGGCCCAGCTGATCAGAGCACCTCATCCACATTGACTCCAAGCATTTTCCAGGGAAACCACAAGGATGTCCCATGTACTTGGAGTTACTGAGCCATCAGACTTTTAAATAAGGTGCTGAAATTTGAATGAAAGCCAAAGAGCTCCAATACATTGCAGAATCAACGAGAGAATAGTTTGAGAGCCAAAGAGAGCCATGTCAGATGTAGATTACCCTATCACCTAATGATCCCTCTCCCCTGAGTAAGGGCAAGTCAGCCACGCCAGGCTAAAAGAGTTATGACAGCAGTAAACCCACAAGAACATCCTGAATGAGCAGAGCAGGTCCAGGGGAGATCCAGAGGGACTGAGGGAAGGCTTCCATGAAGAGATTAAAGGAAGGGCAAAAATTAAGGACACCAGGGCAGGGGCTATTGAGGCAAATCCAGAGCTCAGAGAAGAGCAGGCTAAAACTCAGAAATGAGCTACACCTGTACCTGGGAGAGAAGGATATTCACTTAGTATTTGATATTCCTCCTGTGTTGGCACAATGGGATCCTGAAGGGAGAGAGAACTAAAAGCAGACAAGGGGAGGGTTTGAGGAATGTCTCTGAAAGCAGCAAAATTCGGGTGGACATAGGCACAGTGCCCAGCTGAGGGTGACGCTGAGTGCTGGTAGCCAGGGAAATGGCAGGCTTGGAGAACAAATCTGCAGTGAGGAAGTGTGCTCGGTCAGGAGATTTCCTCCTGAGACTCTCCATGGAGGAAGAGTAGGAGTAAAGGAAGTAGAGGCTGGAGTGGGAAATGGGGCCTTTGCAAGGAGAGCAGAAGGCAGGAGGAAAGGACGGACACCGTGACGCAGAAGGGACAAAGGTGAGAGCCATGAGTGGCAGGGACAAGGCTACAAAGAAACTGCTGTGAAAGCTCTCCAGCTAAGCAGCTCAAATGCATTATCCCCTCTTGGGAGGAAAGGGAGAGAAAACAACTAAGGTCATGCCCAGCTCATTACAAATGCTGGGCACATACCATATCTGCACTGTCCCCACACCTGGCAAAGGGACAAGCCACATTCATCTGATATTACTTGAAAGTCCATCCAGATCTGAATTTCTGCCAAGTTCAGCAGGTTTCCAGGGCTGAGATTCCACTTCCAGCCCACTTTTACAAGTTGAAACAAAAAGAAAACAAAATATGGCTGCTAAGACAAAAGCATTTCCAAGAAAATAGAGATTTGTGGCTTATCTGTTTAGCTAGTCAACACAAAGCTAAGCCGATAGAAACAGCTTTGAAGAAAGCAGATTTCCTTATAACTTCCACAAGACAAACTCATTCCCACAGCCACTTTTGCTGGAACGCAAACTACCCTGACTCCTCTTTCTCAGCATTCTTACCTCCTCCTCCAGTTTCACCACCTTGGCCTGAGCGTTGTTCAAGGCCTGGTCTCGGATCTCGATGTGTCTCCGCTGGTCCTCGTTGGTGGAGCGGGCAGCAGCCAGCTCTATTTCCAGTTTCTCTTTTTCCCTCTGTGTTTCCTTGTCTACAGATAAAAAAGTGATAGTTATCAATGCACAGCACTCGTCTCTGCCCAGTTTTCACTCCAGAGGTGAAGGGAAGATTGCACTGGGACTTCTCACAAGAAAGAGAATGCAAAGCTAGTGCTAAGAGGGAAAAGAAAAGGACATGGCTTTCAAGGAAGAGAAGGACCTGTAATCCTGAAAAACAAGTATGGTACCTTCAAGCAACAATGTGCCACAAAGATAGTGAGAAGGAACAGAAGGTGCATCACTCAGTACAGTTACTCAGGTAATTTGCTGTGATTATGCAGATGGTTAGTGAAACTTGGCACCTCTTCACCTCTGAGCTTTCAGAGTGGTAAACAAACTGAGTAATTTTAATATCTTGGGCTGGGGAGAGAGATAGCAGACTGGTGTTCCTGAAAAACTTGTGTTCCTTTTTTCCACACTGGCTCCCCAAACTGGAAGGGGGTTCTGCTCTTTCTCAGAGGAATCACCAGCAATACCTTCAGAGGAGTCAGAAAACAAATCAGCAGTAAGAACTCCTCAGTCTTCCTCTACTGCCTGTAAAAATGATCCCCTGGGCCTGAAGTGAGGCACATACATCTGTTCTGTCCCTTCTCAGAGCAGACCTGCCACCCCTAACACAGCAGCTCATCCTTTTCTGCTGCTCTCCAGGAAGAGCTGGCACAGCAATGCCGAGTGTTTCAGGAACAGGGCACTGCATTCATAAAAAAATAGATAGGATAAAAATAATTGGAGACTGGAGAAATTATCACAAAGGGTGTAAGGCAAAGCCACAACACAGAGCTGATGTCCTCTGTGTATGTTGCCATTCCCAGCTCAAGCCAACCAGCTCCAAAGATAACATTAACCCACTTGCTGCATACACAACCACAGAATACTCCCTGGAGTGATCTACACCCAGCACTGATGACACCAGAGAAACTGCATTCCAGAAACCAATATCCCACGACAAAGGAATGAGGACAAGGAGTGGAAGGCTTGAAAAACAGGAACGAGGTGCTGGGTGTTAGGACAGACTGCATATGGAGTACACAGGCCCATTTGTGCAAGCATGTGCATAACTATATTTACAGGACCACAATTACTCCCTTTCTTCTGCCAGCAAAGAGCCAGGAGCAAAGCTTTAGCAACACAGAGTAGCTAAAGATTCCCTTCTGCCAGGGAATCAACACAGCCCACACACAGGTTGCAAAACAAACCTGTCCACCAACAGCACCCAGAGCTCTGCAGAGCAAACCCAGAGCCAGCCCAGGACATAAGGACAAATGTCATCACATGATGGTTTTTTTTGCCCATCTTTCCCAGCATTCTCCTCCACCCAGGAATGAGTTGCTGCCAGTGTGAGCACATTACACTGTACTGCAGAGACTGAGCTGCATTGAGACAGTGTGGCATTATGCCAGCAGGTATCAGTCAGTGCTACCAGGCTGTTTGTTAATCTGGAAATGCTTTGCAGAGAGGCTTTTGGAGGTTTTGTTGCACACTTTTCTCCAAATAAGAACTGCTTCACTTGACAAGTCCTGCGGCACCCCTAGAAATGCTGGGACTGATTAAATGCAGGACTGTGGCTTCCACCTTCATCCCCACAGCTTTGACCTCCCCAATTTCTGTGTGCTCCTGTGAAGCTCAGTGTCCACCAGCAGAAGGAGAGACTAAACTCCCACACTTCCCCAGTACCACCAGGAGTTTGGAATTCACTCCCTGACAGCCATTTGCTTGCAAGGCAAACCACAAGGAATAAGCTAAAGATGACACAAGAGAGGGACACCAGAATCTGGTTACAGGGTAGCTGCAGTGTCTATTACACCACAGAAAAACACTGTTTTGCAATTTTATTGCACTACCTTTTTATATAACAATTGGAGAAAAGTGAGCATTGTCAGAAGGGTGGAGCACAAAGTGGGATGAGAGAAAAGTTGGCCCGACGCCGTCGGCCTCAAGACATTTCAGAACAAAGGAAAAGCAGCATTTCACACCCGTCATTTTGGTTTGCCTTGTGATAAATCCACTGCTGTGGACAGAATTCCTGACCCTCACCCAGCCCAGCAGACTGCAGGAGTGTTCATCCCCTTTATTTTTACTGAACAGGATAGGGCAGTGGCAAATTAAAGAGGAACGAGATAGGAGACCTACCAGGCTCCTCTCCTACTGGCCTTAACTCATGCCAGGACTCCTGTAGGCCTGGGGAAGAATTCATTTCAAAGCTTTCAAGGAATAAAACAGATGGATAAAATATGTAAATTATGGGGTAAACACTAATTTTATGGTTTAACTGAAAATTACCTATGCTCCAGTATCTCTAATAAATCCCATCAGATGGACTTTAGATACTGAAAGAAAAGGAATTCTTGGATCCCTCCTCCTTTCTGCACTGCCAGCTTTGGGCTGCCACTGCCCTGGTTTCTGTGCTGATCATTAACCTGCTGCACTGTCCTCCCTCCCAGGTGACTGGAGCTTTCCACTGACCCACAATGGCTGTGAAACTCACTTTGTGCAAAGAGCTGGGAGATGGTTTTCCGGTTGTCTTCAGACCCCTCAAACTCCTTCTCTGCCAGCTGCTTGTTGGCTGTCTCCATGCGTTCTGCAAAAAAATTCAGTAAAAGCAAAAGAAATAATTAACAACTTTCAAGCATTAAGTTACATTTTCTCAGGGCATTCCTCACGTTGGGGGAATGGATCTGCTAATTCTACAGCATATCATAAGCTGGCTCTCACTTTTGAAATGTTTTTAATTATGTCCTTAAGGAAGTACACTCAATGAGACAAAACAGGTTAAAGTTCCAAAGAAATTATTTTAAACATTTATAACACAGAAGTTTATTTTTTCAATTTATACCTTTATTTTTTCCACACAAATAAATCCCACCATGCAATTAAAAGATCTCTTATAACTCTCCACTAAATCTTAACAGGAGATTAAATTACTGTTGTCCAATTACCTGACTTGAGGGAATAGTGTAAAACCCTAAAAACAGCTTAACGGCTCTGCTGCTCCAAGCTGCTAGAAAACTCTGTCAGTCTGTGAAAATTAGAATGAAATGTTTATGCTGTATTTTATTATGAATAAGATTATTTAATGCAGGCCTTTGTGTACAGTACTGGGAAATGTATGGCTTTACTCCCTGGATGCAAAACAATTTCTGGGAGTCTTAGTAAAAGACATGAGGCAGTGAGAGCATGCAGGACAATCAGAAGGCTTCCTTAAAAAAATTAAACTTCCAGTTTAAACAACTGTTTGTGCACCTTCAAAAATCTCAAATTGCAGATGATTTCCACCTTTCAAACTAATGCTTAAACTTTTCCCCCCAGTGAGGTCAAATACCACTCAACACCACTCTGCTGCCAGCCGTGGGGCTGCCTCAGCCTCTTAGCAAGAACCAGACATCAATAACATCTCACTCTGCAAAAGGAAGGGAGATCCAAAAAACCAGATGCCTACATTGATAAGGAATGACAAGACCTTCAGGAAGAACAGACACTCTGCAGTTTGTATGTCAGTGCAAAAAGGGTCACTGGACAGGAAATAAAGTGAACGTGCCTGGTGTGGGATTAGGCAGTCAGCAAAACCTCTTTCCATTCATGTAAACTGAACAAATTGTACAAATTGTCTCTAGGATATAAGACATGAGAGAATTCCAGGCTTGCATCTGGTTTATGGTATTTGGCTTATCACATGTTTCTTGTCAATGAGAAACAGGCTGGAAATGAAAGACTACAGCCCTCCCCTAAACCTGTCTTTTCCATTCCTCCAGCAAGTGCTTAAAATCTCTGACTACTGAATGCACCTGAGTATCCTGTCATATTCCAGTCGTGTCAGACACCGAATTCTGCAGCAAAACTCTGCAAGTAAGCGTAACAATAAAAATCCCCAGCACTGAAGAACAGAAGTTTTACTTCATTTACCTCTTAGATCCCTGTTGAAATCATGAAGCCTACGAATTTCTCCTTCCAGTTTGTTTCTCATGGCTTTTTCCAGGGCATCCCGCTTAGAGGATGATTTCTCCAGGTTTTTGTAGGCCTCTGAAACTTGCTGAATTTCTGTTTCCAGCTGCAGTGGAAGTGAAAACAAGCACTTACTATTTTTCACTAACAAATTTCATTGTCTCAGACAGGAGATTACTTTGTCTCAAGTGTTCTTTATTGAGGGAAACCTACACTTATACATTAAGTAAAAGAAAGTCTCAGGTCCATGATGCATCCCTCTATGGAAAGAATACCAGTGGCTGAATAATTTTGCAATAAAATATGCTTTATCCTTCCTTTTAGGATATGCTTTATCCTTCAGTGTAAAGCTTCTCTGATCATCCAGAACAGGAGGTTCTCTCCTAACTCTCCTTGCTGGGCATAATTTGCTATGGAAGTGTGGATCCACACCACACCAAACCCCATCAGCACTGTCTATAGCAAGTGATCAACAGGGAGGTGGAGGGAAGTGCATTTGTATCTTTCTGTCATTATCAGGAAGCTGTCAAAAAATCCTCTCAAGTATTTCCTGGCCAGAAAAATTCCAAAAAAATACAACCAAACAAACACATATCCCTGGTAAGAGGTAACATGGGAAATAATGGGTGTGGAAAGCCACACTGGTCACTTGAACTCAAAGACAAGCAGCCACACATTTCTCTGGCCCCAAACACTGCTCAGTGCAAAAAGCACAGCAAGGCCCACAAAGTCCTAAATTGCTAAGCAGCATCAACCTTTCCACAGCTGCAAGGCAAAAGCAAAGCTGACCTGCTGCCCAGCTTTAAACCACTGGTCATCAAGAAGCTATTTCCATGAGGCAGCATGAAAATACCTCCACACATGCACATTAATGATGGGTCTCACTGGGGTATTTCCTTTTAAACGTCTTAGCATCATTTATTCTGATTGTTCCATAAAGCCAAAGGTGGCAAATAGCTGGGTCCAAATCAAGACATTAAGTTTTCATGGAAATTGTGTGGTGTTGAGAGAAGGACAAAAGGAGTGTTATTCCCAGTCCTGCAGTCCAAATGTCTTTAGTGTAGCCATAGCAGCACTACTTGCCCTGTACACTGTGGTGCCAACCAGTTTTGTAGCAATGTCCCCTGCTCCTCCTTGACCGGCTGTGGCCTTATGCCACCCCAAGCAGGCCCTTCCTGCATCTCTGAAGTCTTTTTGGGAAAATGAAACTTGCTGCTATCCTGGACAAGCCTTAACTCAGCCATGCAAGCCAAGCAGTCAGCCTCTCCAGCAGCTGAGGAGGATGTGCTTCTGAGCATGGTCAATGAACTGTTAGCAGAAAATTGAAGGCTTTGATTCCATCTTCTGCCAAAGTTAAGCTAATGCCCAAAGGCACAGGACACAGACTAATCAATCTGCATACGAAAGACTCTAAAGTACATCATCAATCCCTTCAGCAAAGGAATCCAACACTTTCAGGTCAAATGATTCAATTAGGGGCTAGACCAGAGACAGGAGAATGCCTGAATTCCACAACCACCCACCTTCTGCAGCCGGGCCACTTTCTCATAGCACCCATCCAGCTCCTGCCGGAGGGACCGGTTCTCCTCCGACAAGATTTCCACCATTTGCTGGGCCCTGGACACGATGGCAAATGGATCCACTTGCATCTGCTGGTAGGGGGAAGGGATCTGCTGGGCCCGGGGCATCATGGAGTAGGAGTCGCCCTGCTGCTGCTGTGGGCCCAGGAAGGGCTGGCATAGTCGGTACAGATCTCCCTGATGGACTGGGTTGGACAAGAAAGGCTGCTGGGTCCGTGGCAGAATGCCAGGATCTGCCTGGCTGGGAGTCAGAGGTTGCTGGTGCTGGGAAGGGGACAGCCTAGAGGGCGGTGGAGACTGGAGCAAAGTCAAAGATCCCAGGGATGTCAAGGAAGAAGTTGGGCTGTGGTGGTGAGGTGGTCTCTGTTGTAACTGCAGCTGCACATCTGGGTTCTGCCTGGAAAACAGAGAGCACAGGCTCCATCACAGTCATGCAGAGGAAGGTGCACAAACCCAGGGACAAGGGGTGTAGCTCCTGTGCAGAGGTTTTCCCATACAAAAAACTCAAGTGAGGCTTTCTTCCATTTTAGAAGTCTGCTTTTAAAAAGCATTTCAAAATCAAATCTTTAGCAGAAAATTTATTCTAAGGCCACAAAGGTGTTTCCTCTTGAGACTATTTTTTTTACAGAAGCACTACGAGAAAGTGCATCAACAACTACTGGCCAAAATTATTTTCCTAACTTTTCTCCACACTTTGTGAATAAAACTGCTCAACTAAGGACTGCTACGAACAGGCTCTTTTGTTCTGGCCTTAAATGTGCCACCTGTCATTGAGAAAACAATTAATTTTCTTCTGCAAGCCAGGATAGTTAAAAGCATTGTGTAAGCTTGATGCTAGTATTCCAGCACCACTGATCTGAGCTTTCTGAAATATCAATCAATAAACTGCAGCCTGGTTAAACGCAACAAATAAAGGATATGAAAACCAACCTAAGAATCAGAAGCAGCATTTCATTCCAACCTGCCCTGTCCTATGCAGTAGGTGTGTTTACTGCTCCTGACAATAATCTCTGCAGGCTATCAGAGACACATCTAACAATCAATAACATGCCTGAGCCCACCACAGAACTGAATTCAAGCTACACGCTCTCACATTTCCCAGACTCTGGAGATCCCCAGCTCAACTCCTGCTGCATTAGCCAACTAAGAAATCTCCCTGAGAAGACTGTGTGGATTTATCATGCTTGGATGACCTCAGGAGGCAGGATTTGCTTTCTCCTCCAAAAACATTCAACCTTTAACTTCTCTGAATGTTCTTTATTCTAACAGTTGAAGTCCCTCCCTCTCCATGCTGCAGCCAGTCTCTTCATGAGCGTGGAGCTCAGGCCAGAGCAGACCCAGCCTGGCAGCTCCTCGTGCTCTGAAACACTCCTGCTGCTCTGACAAAATTCCCACCCTCTGGGATGCACTTCAGCCTGCAGCTGGAAAAGCACACACTTGTTCCACCTGGCCAGAGCTGCTACAGAACACCCCCCTGGCTGCCTGTGCTCCCAGGAGGGACTCCTGCCCTGCAGAGGATGGACAAGGCAGCTCACAGCATTCCCACAGCACAAGGAGCCTTGGAGGAACTCACAGCAGTGAGAAGGAAGCTGAGCTGGGAGTTAAAGGGTTACATAAAATGCCTCTGAGCCCAAGTGCAAACACTCAGCACCATCCTTCCTGCTCTCCAAGAAAGAAGGAATCACTCCTGGTACCCACCACTCACATCTGGGCATTACTCACATCTGGCAGCAGCGCAGGGGAGTTCAGCTCTCAGCCCAGCACAGAGTTCACTATTTCAGCATCATGCCCTTCATGTCTCATTGCTCTGCTTCCCTGCAGAGAAACCTCCAAGCTCCCGCTCAAATTCCTTAATGGGGAAACAAATCTAGCCTTTGTTAACTAAGAAAAAACAAAGAATCATTGCTCTAGCTACTGCTTCTCTCCTTCTCACATTCAGGTGACTGTGGTTCCTGCCAACAGCATCATTTCAGGAGCTGTATTTCCCCAGAAATTATCATTTGCAGCACGAGGATTTCAGGGGTCATGCAGAAGAGTGATGTGCAATTAATTTCCTCAGGAATGTTCCGTTTAGTAGCAGCAACGTGGTTCTTCTCCTCCCAGGGGGGCAGCTCTACTTATTGTTGCACTGATTTCATTAACTTAATTTGCCAGTTCTCATAATGAAGAATGAGGCAAAACCATCACAGGCCATGCTCAAGGTCACCTGGTTTCTCAGGTGGTTTCCAGCTGCTTTCTTAGCTCACACAGTTGTGTGCAGAGTTAAAACTTTGCATCCTCACAAAACACTCATCTCCTTGAGTTTATTCTTTACCTATCACCACAGCTCTGCTTTGATGTTGTAATCAATTAGGGAATAACCTTGCTGTGACATTTCATCTGTGATGACCTACAGAGTTAGATCAAAAAGAAATGCATTGCCAGTCTGCCTCATGGGTGCAAAAAACCAATTTTCAAGCTACAAAACACTCTTTTCCAGCCTGAAAACAACCTGGAGCAGTTACTCAGGGAGACTGGTGTCAGCGAGTTTAATCTTAAAAGCCTCATGAGGATAATTTAGATGCCAATGTTAACAATGTGAGCTATTTGACTAAAACCATCTTGTTATTCTATCAACAGAGACCCAGTGGCAGAACCCTGCCATCCTAAGCACCAATGAGATGAACAAAATGATGGCCAAAGAAACACAACAGCAGCACTTTAATTCTGAAGGGCCAGTGGAAGTGACATGCCTTGTAATGATCCTTTTTTTTTTTAAACCTATTGTAAAGAACAACTCTAGGAAATCATGGCTGAGTATTTCTAAACAGGATACATTTCCAAGAATTCCAGTATCTTGGCACTCACATCCAAAGCCTCTCAATCTTGAAATTATACCAATCTTGTGGGCTCAAGCTAGAACATGAGAGCTTGGAGCCTCTAGTTCTGTGGCATTACCAACACCATTAGGGCTTCCAAAATGTCACAAATGCATTTATATTCCCAGCAGAACGAGACAGCACAGCTGGGTTAATACATCCTAAAAATGATATTTTAAAAATATCATCTTTTAAAAAACTATATTTAAAAATCCTAGGAACCTCACAGTCACACCAGACTTTTTAAGATCTTGCATACAAACTTTTGCATACACATTCAAATAACTTTTTGGCATTCCCACTACCTACAATTTTGTCTTCTAAAATACTTACATACATTTTGTGGGTAAAAAATACCTGGCTCTAGGATTTCTTTATATTAGCAAGAGAAAAGAAGAATTTATTTCTCTGGTAAAGCAATTTTGGGTTGAGAGTCGGAAAGGTAAATGAACACAATTTGGATTTTTCAAGATTTTTATGCTATACTGCAAAATGTAAAGGTAAAAATGACTATTTGTGTCACTTAACAGTATTGCTGATAAAATGGTAGCAGAAAATTCCCTCCATGAGAGAATGAGTCCTCAGGTAACCCTGCAATAGTAATCACAATTTTATCTGAACCAACCACTTCAGAAAAAATGCAGACTCTCAAAACACATATACAACAAAATTACACAATCTCCTTCCATTTGCCTCAGTGTCACAGAGACCTGAATAAACCAAATGCAGGAGGAAAACAAAATTCAGAGCAATTACCCCCACAAGTGTTTGGGTTTGAAAGCTAACTTTAAGGGCCACTTCTCTGTGCAGCATGCAGGAATTTTTGCTGTGTGGCATGGACCAGAGGAATACTCCACACAGGCCAAGTACAAACGTGGATTTATGGCTCTGCAAGCACCAGGGTCAGCTCAGCTTTTGGGGCAGGAAGGCAGAGGCAGGGAGCGAGGGCAGCTCTGCAGCCATGGGCGCTCAGCTGCCAGGACAGAGGTCACACACAAGGCTTGTGCCAGAGCAGCACAGTGGGGACGGCAGCAGGGACCAGGAAAGGGACCAGGAAAGGGACCAGGAAAGGGACCAGGAAAGGGACCAGGAAAGGGACCAGGAAAGGTCTCTGGCTCGTTAAGGTTTTTTCTAATGCCTTCCCAGCTTCTCCTGCCTGTTTCATGTTCAAGAAGCTCCAGTTCCGCTCCCGCACAAACCAGGAAATGCTGCCCGCGGGAGGGAGCAGGCTCCACTCCATTACACAGCCGAAATCAAACCCAGGAATTTTTGTTCTGCTGCCCAGTCACACCTGATTAGCCCCCACTTTGATGCTGCTGAGGGGAACGCAGTGCACAGAGTGATTTACTAATTATGGGACAAATTCTGCAGACCTCCCTCTCAAAAACTTTCTGTGAAGTCGATGGGATTAATCACCACAGCAGGAGCTCAGTCACTTGGGCTTCACACAGAGGATGGCGCTTGAATCAGAGAGACAAGGAGCTTCCTCTGCACCCAAAAATGCAACAGACAGGAGCTTCCTCTGCACCTAAAAATGCAACAGACAGGAGCTTCCCCTGCACCTAAAAATGCAACAGACAGGGGTTTCATCTGCATCCAAACCTGCATCAGGCAGGAGCCTCCTCTGCACCCAAACCTGCATCAGGCAGGAGCTTCCTCTGCACCCAAAAATGCATCAGACAGGGGTTTCCTCTGCATCTAAAAATGCATCAGGCAGGAGCCTCCTCTGCATCCAAACCTGCCCCAGCCCTCGCTGTGCTGCCACAGGAGCCCTTGCAGCCCCAGGACACAGAGCACCCGTGCTCTGCTCTTAGACTGGAGAGTTGTTTTCACAACCAATGCTAAAGTGCAGTTGAAGTATCAGGGAGAGAACCCAACTCTGGAGCTTCACATGTGACCAGCGCTCTTCTAAACTTTCTTTATAATTTCCAAATAACAGCAGAGATGCCTCCGGCATGCCCGGTATTTACATTAAACCAACATCATTACCAACATACACTGTTCCCAAACTTACACCGCCCAGGAGCAGGTGAGGCAAACTGTTTGCAGACTGGTTTAAACTTACCACACAGCCCATTCCTTTCCCAGACTGGGGAGGGTGAAGCATGAGAATGCTGTGAATTCCCCAATGTTTATCTTGCTCAACGAGTTTTATTTAACCGCATCATTAGGTCACCCTCAAATTCCCCCGAACAATGAGGGGAAAAACCCGCAGAAAAGGGTGTGGCTTCGGGAGCAGAGAGAAGGGGCTTTGTTTCCTTGACGCACAATTCAAAAAATGCACACAATTTACCAATCCAAATGAATCCCGATAAAGGCCGAGCCGACGTGCAGGAAAGCTGGAGACTGCAAGGACGCTCCCGATGCGAGGCAAAAGCTCTCCCTGGAGCTGTTTGCCTTTAAAATCCCCACACCATCACCCAGCTGCACCTTTAGCAACACAGAAGGTTTCTTGTCTAAATGACAGTTTCTCTTACAGCATGTGGGAGAGGGAGGGGAATAGAGGACTCGCTCCCTTCCTTTGCTACGCTGCTCTGTAATTTATGGATTAGTCTTGCAATTGTTCTACTGCTCCAGCATTTGCCTGCAAAGGAAACCTCTCCTCTATGCAGCTATTTAGGTTAAAAAGTAACCTCATTAGATTCCCAATGCTTTGAAGACAAATTTCAGTTGCTTCCCCTACTGGAAACCTTGCCAGCTGAACCTTTCTCCTCCCCCTCCTTCCCCCCACCATGTTCTTTCAAAGCAGCCAGGATCCATCCAATACAGACAAAAATCACCCTGTCTAGAGGAGCTGACTGTTGGCGTGTTTTCAAATACCTCTCCCTTGAACAGCAAGCAGGCTACATCTCACTGCATATAATATAAGGAGTATTTCTGATGCAGCAGAACCAGCGAGGAGCTGTTTCCCTGTCCCGTGTGCACAGAGGTTTGAGGCGTTTGAATTTGCAAAAACATTTGCAACGAGCTTCTACAATCATTACCCCCCCTAAACCCTTTACTTCCCCTTTTCCTGGCCTCTTTATTATTTATTTAGCCAGATCAAAGGGCCTTTTCATCAGGCTTGTATGCTGCTGAAGTCATTTCAGATCACAAACAATGGTGGACAAACTCTGAAAATAGCTCCTCATAGGGTTAGGAAGGTTCTGAGCAGATTCAAGCTCCCTAAAGCTCAGACTCTGCTCCCAAATACTGACTGGTTTCTCCATGCTCCCCTCAAAATGTGCAAACACAAATTCACAGAGACCTCTCCATTTACATCCTCCCATTGCTCCTCTGAATTACCCTTTTAGCTTCAAAATGAGGGCAAAATCATTACACAAGATCCGACCTGGTGTCAGGCAGAGGTGAGATGGCATGGGAACAGGTAAAGTGAAGCTGGGGTTTTAGCCCACCTTAACAAAACTTCATCCTCCCACATGAACATCAGTGTTTGGCTCAAGCCAAATCCAGCTCCTTATCTAGAGGGAACCAGAACAGGCTGAAATTTCAAATGATGCAAGAAAAATGAGCAAAAGCTGAACAAGCAAGCCTGGGATGAGGCACAAAGCATATTCCATTTTCGTCTCCTACACTTCAGTCCACTGAAAATAAAATTCTAAAAACTCTACAGGAAGCTCAGAGGTGATTTTTGCTACCTGCACCATTATCGCTTTCATTCACTTTCTCCTTTCCTATTTGATGCAGTTTTAAGAAAAATCTTTTGTCTGGCAGATGTAATTAAAGAACAATTTAAGTCTTGCAATAAGTAACTGCAAGTTTCTACAATGAATCACACCATAACTTTGGCTTTTGTAGCAAAGCTTTTGTGAGGCTTTGGAGCCTCAGCATTGAACTTCCCCATACCATAAAATCAAGTTGGCTTGTCTTGGATCTCTTTCTTTTTTTTCTTTGTAAAAAAGCATCAGGCCTCTCTAGTCAGCTACTGAAGCAGGTAACAGACCTTCCAGACAGTCTGCAGCTGAACACAACATGTCATCTCGCACAATGAGGATGGGGTCTTTGCTGAAGGAAAACCTGCCTCATGAGTGAAGGTGATGGACTGTTTTATATTGTCATTCCCTACATGGCTGTCACAGGGCTTGTTTTAAGGTCTCTCTTACCTGACTGAGCCATACTCAGGGGGATGCTGATACCTCATCATAGGCCCATCAGATCTTCCCTGCTGGCTCATGCGATGGTCACTATAGAAATGCCCCGAGTCCTGAGGTTTGCAGTTCATAGACGGGGTGGACACGTTTTTGTAAGGGTACTCTGGGGGAGGCCCCCGCTGCTCCATTCCTTTCATGCTGGGCTGGGAAGGGGGCTGCACCGAGTTCTTGTAGAACTCATTGGAGCCAGAATTTTTGTAAGGGTCGCTGGACTGCTGGGGAGAGAGCGGGGACAGCGGGGAGAGCGGCGCGCTCGTGACGGGCGCGTGGGCCTTGACCCCGCTGGTGGCCAGGGACAGCTGCATCAGCCTCTCGCTCAGGGAGCGCACGTGGCCTTGCTTGAGGTCCTTCAGTCCTTCGTCCTGGTGCACCTTCCCCGGGCTCACCCGCTGCACCGTGGGCCGCCCCTCAGTCCTCATCTTCTGGTTGGTGACGCCCGTGACGTAGAAGGCGGCCCCGACGCTGGCGTGCGGCTGGCCCCGGAAATACTGCGACTGCACCTTGGCCTCCTCGTAGGTCGGGAGGTCCTCGCTGTTCTGGAGCCGCGGCGAGAGCTGCTTCTCCATGATGCTGTTGTCCACCTGTATCTCCTGGCCCTGGGGCTCCTGGCGGGCAGCATGAGTCACGAGCTGGTGGTCCTGGGAGCTCAGCCCTTCGTTCTGAGAGGCCGGGCTGCCGGTGCTGCTGAAAGGGGGGGCATTCCCTGTGGCTTGCTGGTGTAAGGCGAGAAGGTTGCGGTTGTCATTTGGGTTCCCGTATCGGAGCTGCTCCTGCAGCAGGCGCTGTAAAACTGTCGTAGCTGCTTGCTCTTCTGAATTCCTCATCTCAAACTGTGGTGCCTTTTGGGTGGAATGTAAAAGCTGCCCTTGACCTGAGGAAAGGAGACACGGTTATTAGCGCCTGAGTGGATTGAGGGAGAGATATTCAGGAGCAAGGGCTTGAAATATGGAAAAAAAGCAGGTTAGATTACCAAAGGTTCCCATAACAATGGGGGTCATCAAGGCCCATGGAGACCTAAGAAGGACGTGCATGCCCGGGGGGCAAAGCCTCAGAAAGGTGATGAAAGGTGACTTGAAAGTTTATAGGCAAATCAATCCACTGCAAGCCGTAGGGATGCGTGCCAAATACCTCAGACAGCATCTCGGGCAAAAAGGAGACGTGGAATTCACAGGATGATGGTAAAAATGCCTGAAACCTGTTTGCTTTATAGTTGGAGTTACCAACAGTGAAATACACTTCCCATATTTGTAGGCAGACAAGGATGGAAGTGTGAAATCAGCAACTTGTCAGTTTTAAGGGAAAGCAAAAAACAAAAAAGAGGCCCGTTGAGATAGCATATGGTTCAAAAGAAGTAAAGAAATCTCTCGGCTCGGATAAAGCAATTCATGAATACCTAGTTAGCCAGCAGGTTTTCAGAGTTATGAAATGCCCAGAGTGAGATCAGCACCTCTTCTCCCTGCTGCAGAAAACCCCAGGCACGGTGCAAGTGAGGACTCAGGAACTTCCTGCTACACAAAGGCAACCAAATCCTCACACATCTAAATATCCTCAGCGGAATGCATGCAAATGCAAGGGGAGGAAAAAGAGTTTTCTGATCTAAGGAACAGAAAAAGACCTCTGAGTGGCAGGAAAAAACACTGCGTCCCAATGAGAGAAACACAAAGAGCCAATGTCAGGCACATCCTAAGTACAGATTAAGCCAGTGACCAACAGCAATTACATTTTGCTCAGTCTCCCAGTGGAGTCAGGAGTGTGTCATGGAAACTCAGGCCCATTGGCCTTGCCTGAGTTGAAATATCAAAAATTAATGATACCTTTGAGACATGTAACTGAAAGCAGAGCTACTTTTGAGCTAGAACAGCCCAGAATATAGAGTGAGCCTCACTCGCTGGCCAAGCTGCGGCTCTGCCTGACAGCAGAACACGTGGTGTTCTAGCATTTTCTTTTGTCACCTTTTTGCTGTATTACGCTGTCCCTTAGAAGAAGGTAACGTGCTCCCAAACAGTTTGTTCTGTAGCAGAACCAGGAGGCCTGAAGGGTCTGCTTTGTGCTGCATCTCCACAACCTCCCCGTTTGCTCCCTCAGACCAGCCAACCCTGCAACACAAGGACTCCCACTGGGCACACAAAAGCCTTCTGCAAATCTTAATGAAGAGAAAGTTAAAATCCACCTCATTCCAGGCTGCCCACCAGGGCAGGAATTCAGGCCCTGTTAGCTGACCTGGAATGTGCCTCCTTTGAAATGCTGTTTGAAGTGGCACATACCTTTGTCCTTCACTTGGAGTTCCCTGGTAAGGAGGAGCAGTTCTGCCACATGGGGGGACACGCTCAGCCTTCCTCCTGCAAACCCAAGATCTCCGCTCAGAGATGGCTTCAGCTCCTCTTCAGCAGGCCAGATCACTTGATACTCTCCTCGCTCCCAAAATAACTCTGAGGAAAGCATTGAAAACATCATTTAATCAGCAGAAGAGACCCTCAAAATAATAAACCTTGGCCCATACTTCAGATTTTCCTTTTGTAACTTCTTGTTTTCTCCCAGAGCCCAACAATTTTGATCCCTTTAGGATGAATGAACCCCCGTGTCCCCAGCAATCTACTCCAGCTGCTGCTGTAATCATGACTATTTCTGCTCCAAGATTAAATGTTGCCAAGTAATGCTTTGTCCCATCTGTGCCTCCAAGTGAAACAGTGATTAAAACCCGCTAATTCTTTAACTCCATTGTTTTATTTTTTGCTCAGAATGAAAGCTGCAGCACAGATGAGGATGCCCTGTGCTTATGGCTCCTTTGCCAGTGGTGCTGAGTATTTCAAACTGTGTCAGCAGAAATCCTCTGCTGGATGGTGACACAGTGAAATGCTTGATAAACTTCAACACACTGTGCCTCAGAAATGACTGTGAGAATGATCAGTTTGTGAATATTAGCTTTATTTTACAGACTGGGAAAGTCAGGGAAGAAAAGGACACTGACAAAAGCTTATGCCAGAAATACATTGCAGAGCACAGCTCTAATTCCCAAAACACTCTTTAATTACGTTACTTTTTTCCTTCAGAATATGAAGCAGTAAAGAAACTTTAACCATTGAGAGGAGAAGCAGGAGAATACAGAACAATGTGTATTTAGAAGAATGTTACAAGAAGCATGTTACAAGAAGCAGTTACTGAAAGTGTCCTAAAGAAAAAGGCAAGCAATGCAAAAGATGTGGAACATATTTGTGCACTCAGTGTGTTCATACTTTAAGGAAAGGCAATGAAAACAGAACTAGCAAAACTAAAAATATTCATTGATACGTATAATTTAACTTAATTTCCTGGAATGTTGCAAAAAATAAAGTGAACAGATGTAGTGAAGGAATGCAGACATGGATACTTCTGTCTCTGACTTATTACGGCACAAATCCACACCCAACAAAAACTATCTCAGATCTGCAAGTTAAATACTTGAGGTGTCAACAGCAATTTCAAGGCACATGAACAATATCTAAGGAGAGAACAAGGCAGTGTTGTGTGGTGTGGTACTTCAAGATGGTGGTTGAAAAAAGCAGCTAATGTCAAATTCTTAACTGGTGACTTAGCTCGAGAGGGATATATTGAAAACAGCTGCCAGCAAATATGCAGTAAAGAACCTTTAAACCAGCCATTAAAGATAGCAGATAACCAGAGCAATTTCTAACCTCTTTTCTCAGTGTTGCACAACAGAAGTTAAGGATTCCTCATCCCCCTCACCAGAATCATCACTGACTCTTCTTTTTATAATTTTTTTAAACCAAGCTGCCCTGAGCAACCCTTTTTATTAGAGTATAAAAAGGCTTTTATTATGCAATGTGATGCTGCCTTTCCACCCGAAGATTTCTTTTGTCTCAACTGGAAAAATCTAAGGAGGTGGGGGGGGATTGTTTATTTTTTTAATACAAAGATACAATCCAGCTTGAGATACTGCCTCTCTGCCTTAAAGATTTTTTTTCAACAGACAAATCCAATCTGTGCATGTTTAACTCCTTCAAATGCTCCAGGAACCATTTCACACACAGAGTTTCACTCCTCAGCACTACCAGCTCATTCTGCTGAGCTGATGGAGGGAGGGCACAGTTCACATTGAAAACATTTGCTGGAACTGAATACTACTAATTTTAGTGTGGGTGTAAACTAGAAATCAACCTGGAAACCCAAAGCAAAAGGTGGGCTGAGATACAATATGAAGATATTCTGGCCAACAAATCTGCTTTCTTTAAATACCAACTGGTAGCCTATTTTTTCCAGTTTTATCCCATTATTTTTAATTAACAAAGAAAATCTTGTGCAACTAACTTGGGTGGCAGCATTCCTGGAATCTGCTTTCTGAGCAGGCTGAAAACTCCTGGCAGAACCAGTGAGTTAACTTTTCTATTAACAAAACACAAAAATGAACAGTACAATCGGTGCTGAAGCCCATGTGTTATTTATTTGGACACCAAACTCTATTTTTTGTCAGGCTCTTCCAGCAATTTCGGTTTTCACTGTGCCAAAGATGGAAATTAGTGAAATGCACTGGAAAAGTTGTCATGATAGAGCTGGAAGGAAATTAGGAAGGTTCTTTAGATACTTTAAACAGACATATTTAGGGGTTTAGCCTACATCTGTTAGGACTGATAGGGTTCAAATCAGACTGCCAACAACTCTGCCAAATTGTACAGATTGAACGGTGCACTCTCCATAGCCACAAAGCCTAGAAACACCTTTTCCAGTGGAAAATTCAGGTTTAGATCAAGTCTCATCCAAGCAACCACAGTGAGATTTCCCAGGCTGAATCAATTTTGCAATTTGCTCCCAAGCATTGCAGCTCTATCATCTTACACCTCATTCTAAACTCTGCTCTGAAATTACTGCTGGTAATTTGAGGGAAAAGCTCTGGAGGAAACATCAGAACCTAGAACTGGTAGAACACAGGAATTGCAAATAATGCTTCACCATGCTGAGATCAAGAATGGGCACAAAATGGGGGTAGTGTAGGTACTATTTAAGGAAGAAAAGCCTCATGTTTGCAGGGCATTGTGTAAAAACCTCAGTAGCTGAGGCTTCTGACTTAAACATCATGTAATTATGCACAGGAACCTTGCCAGTCCCTCGTGAGGAAGGAAGATTAATGAAGAATTTAAAATGATAATACTGCCAGGCTGTAGGGAACCAAAGCAGCACATTTCTGTACAGCATGCAAATATTTTCCAGCATTATAAAAATAAACAAGCTTAGACAAGTGAGCAACTCACCACTGTTTGATGAGTGGCTCTAATGCTATAGCTCAATTAACCTGCATGGAGCAATAATAACCTCACAAGCAAAGAGAAGCATCTTTCTTTAGCTTGTGAAACAAAGAGGAATGCAAGAGTCCCTGTGAGGACAGCCTGTGCATACTTGTCCAGAATTACTGCTTAGCCAAGGAGATAATTAGCTTACACATCAGGTGGGATGGGAACAGGTTCACCATCTCATCAGGGCTGCACTACAGTTAAGCACTTTCAGTTTTACCCCTAAGTTTTGTGTCACTCACACCTGAAACAACCCAGTGTCAGACTTCCAACTCCAGCAGCAAATTCTGTAAAGCCATTCTGTGGTTTATTAAAGGATGTGCTCGTGATACTGCCCATCCTGGCTGGCAGCAGGGGATGGGATGCTACCAGGTAGATTAAGTTTTCAGCTGGTTTTTAGGTGCTGGGCTTTCTTCAGACAGACCTGCACTCTGTAATAGAGGAGGGGACAGGAAACAGTGTGGAAAGGACCAGCTGTGAGGTCCCTGGGCAATACTCCCATGCTGAGTCACCCCTGGGTAATGGAAACACTCTGCTGCTCCATGGCCCACGCAAACCCCAGCAGGCTGATCCCTGATCCTGCAGAATTCACTCAACCTGTGTCATTGGAACCATGGCTGTTCTGCACCAAGGCTCACTTTGGAGTGGCTGGGAGCATCAGAGGCTCAGATGCAAGGTCCCAAATTATTTAATGAATAGTGGAGGTTATCACTGAATGCTCTTTGCTTCCTTCCAGTCCTTGCCGAGGAGGAGGAGAAGGGAGAGAATACACACCAGGCTAGTCCTGGAGAATAAAGGTTCCCAACGTCTGGCGCCAACACCCAGACCTGCAAGGCAGCACTCAACAAGCCCCAGCGTTGTGAGAGCGCTTTAGCACCTGCTCCTAACCAGGAGGAGGTTCCAGACTCCAACCATAAACACCTCCCCAGCTCCAACGCAACCCTCCCGGCCCTGCCTGCCTCCATCTGCTGCCCGTGGCTCAGGTGATCCCGGAGGGTGGCACCGAGCAGGTGCATGGAGTGCTGCCAGCATTACTCATCTTCATTCCAGAAGGGCAGAGTCACCGGGCAAACAAGAAAAACTTCCTTCTTTTAACGAAAAACAAGAACAATGTCACCCGCAGGGGGGCAAATAAGATGCATACCCATTGTATTAGATCATCGTGCTACAGCAATGAAAGGCCAGGAGAACAACCAAAGACTGGTCCCGGTTTTAACAACTCTCCCTGCCAAACTGAGTCCACCTGAGCAAGGATTAGACTGTCCCTAATCCTGCCCCTCAAACACTTGTGCCACTGGCACCAGGCACAGGGAAGCCTGGCAGGCCTGAAGAAAAGGCAGCAAGGTGCTTGGCCTGGCTGGAGATAAGTAAGTCAAGACATCAGCATGGGAAGATCTCCTCTAAATTACATCTCAAAGGAAAAAAACTGACAAGACCTTACTTGACCTTTGAATTACTGCTCCCCTCACTAAAAAGTATCAATTTCTTCACAGGGAAGTTCCTATAATCTTCACCAACATAATTTAGGCTTTATATTACAAAGGAAAAAAAGAATAAACACTTACAAAGCCCAGTATAAATAGGAATGTGTAGTGTCTTTTAAGCACTTTGAAAAGAATGCTTTGGGATTTCAAATTCCTCCCCTAAAATTTTAAAAGTGACAGGAGCAGGACAATTTATTCCAAATATACCAGTCTAATAGGAAAACCAGCTGTTTGTATTGAGAATATTTCTACATGAAGACATCACACCACTCAATTACTTAAACTGTTATGCAGCACTACCTAACACTGCTCACACATCTGCATAGCCACAACCCTTTAGGGGCAGGTACTGCCATTTCTGCATAATTAATGAAACACAAATTCCAGCACAGGCAATGGAAGCTCTGCTACCAACTCCAGAAAGGCAAGATCTCACCTTTTAGATGTCTCCTTGCTAGAATCAGCTCAAGCTCACGCAGCTTCAACCACACCAGGTCTCATTCCAGAGGGCTGCCTCCCAGCACAGAGCAAGCAAGATTCATCTGCCTCAAACTTCAGCGATTTCCAGTCATTATCCCTGCAGAACTGGGGAATTGCTGCAAGCCCAAGCTGCAGTTTTAATTCAGCATCAAGCTTTGTTTTGTGTTTTGAGAATGCTCCACT